GAATTAAGTAGGGTTTCCTCAGCAGAAGCTATTTGAGACGCCTGGTCGTATGGAAGCATTTCGCGAGGTGCAGAAGAGGGGTGACAAACTGAGACACCTACCCCCTACCATACTGAGGCTTTCGGAGTTCTAGTTCTACTTGTCTGTTTTGTGTGATTTAAGCATTCTTTGCATCCGTTTTCCTTAACTACTCCTTTATATTGCCAAGATAATACCCGATAACTTTTTATCTTCCCTTCCGTATATACGATGTTGTCTGTTTGCCAGAAGTTTCTTCCTGCTATCCTGCGGAGCAAATTCCACTCCTAATGGCTCAGCTTTTCGCGGTCCAGCAGTTTTTGCTATTTTCGAATTGCCTACCCACAGAGTCATTTTGGCACCATCGTGTGGCATGCACACCATTCACAGAACATATTTCACCTTCCTTTTATCCATATCCTTATGTGGGTGGTGGTGGCGCAGTGGTTTAGTCGCGGTCAGCGACCTACTTTGGACCCTATCGTCGAGGTTCGAGCCCAACCACTACCACCCAACTTTGGTGGTAGGCAGCTTTGCTGTCGCCCGGATCGATGCCACACCTAACGTATCGGGGCCTTATGTGGTTAGCCACTCCAAGTCCCGCGGGGTTTAAGTTACCGGTTTCCACCACTAAACAACCGGTCCTCTTGACTAATGGGTTCACCCCGGCTGTTGTTCATCACACTTGGGTGTGTACTAAAAAAAATCATTCTGTGCATTTGACACTTGTAGGTGGTTATTCGCAATGGAGGCTCAAAACAGCTTTTCCATTTCCTCTACTGTGATTCCATCCTCCTACGATCCTGCAAAGTCGCTTCTGAGCTTCCCGTAATTGTGCCTGTTATTGTATCTCTCGATCTCTTCTATTACACTATGACGAATAATGAGCTAAGTATGAATGATTCCTTCCATTGTTGTGCCATCAGGGTCCTGTGATTACTCCTCCGACAACCTCCATTTGATTCAGCCTGAAAAACCAGATCTCTGACCCACTGCATGCGAGATTTGAACCCCAGGCAGTGACCACTGGCAGTATAAATAACAGTGCACAAAACGCAGATTGAGCGGGCCAACTACTGTGCATCCCTATATCTTCGGATCATGGGGTTTACCCCTTGTACTGTTTTCACTTTTGTGTAAAAAAGAGAGCTAGTCCACTACCGCGGAATAAGCAGTGTAGTATGAGGCTCAATCGGGTGTAACGTACCCTATTTATGACGTGCCATGAGTATAGTCAGTGCGTTCGCCAAGCACTCAGTGTCATACTGTCGTTCTACTTCTGGGACCAATAAGGATGTTTAGCAGTACAAGTTAATGTATGCACATGACTGCATGCATGGGTGCGAGCATGGGTATGCATGTGCGTATGTTTGTATATGTTTGAATGCATTCGAGGCTGTTGATGTAGGCACGTCGAGGCTTACGAAAGAGTGACGTACAATTACGGATGTAAGGTGACTCGAGTCTGCCTTTTTCGGGCTACATTCTCATCCCAGTCCTTTCCAGGCAAACGTTCAACTGGCCCCTGCTGGACCGTACTAAAGCGGACCCTCTACATGAGGCGAGAAATTCCGAAGCTGTCGAAATGCATCTAAAACACTGCAGCTCGGACGCACAAGAAACTGGACACTCATTTGGCATCAGCCGCTAGTCCTGTGATCTGACCTGTTAAGCAATACTCATATTTCATATAA